AAAAGAAAATTGAGGCTATTCACTGTGAACTCTTCTCTTCCTCATCTCCCATCATTCAGATGCATCCTTGTCACCATAATAATTTTTTATGGTGGGATTCTTTTTTTTTTTTTCTCATTCTTCCAGCCTGTTCCTGACTTCAGACTTTGTTAGGGCTGAACTCTGCATAATTCTGGAAGGAAGATTTGGGATGATCCTGCTTGCTGCTTTCTTAGGGTCTTAAATATCCTATTATTTCAAGATCTTGGGAGGAGCTCAGGCAGACCTGATATCTGCAAGCTTTCAGTGCTGCTATGGTGTTCTGATCCAGTGCAAAGTTGTCCCCACGCCAGTCTGTTCCTTTGCCAGTTTCTGATCTTGGTTTGGATCTGAGCAACAATCAACTGCTGCTGAACTCAGCATCATCAGCCAACTGGGAAACTCTGCTGGTTCGGATCAGAACTGTAGCTTCTTTTTTATTTGGAATTCCTACCCTGGTTATTCCTCTGAAGGCTTTAGACTTGGCTGGAAACTGGAACTGAAACCCCACTCTACTCCTGGAGTTGGAGGCACAGTGCTGCTCTTGTTTCTCAACTTGCTTCTCTAGGCTGTTTGGTCCTAGCCTGTACTGCCTTAGGACATTTGCTCCTTACCTCAGAACTGTGCAGGTCTGTGACCCGGAACTGGATACTGGGTGACAGAGCCTGCCAGTTGGCACCTACTTGTACACTTTGCATGATTTTAAAGTGTGTGTCCTGATAGATGAGGTACCGTAGGTCTGGGGGCTTGCTATACCTTTATTGTTTTTCTTCCTTCACATTATTTTAAATAGTAAGTACTTTAGACATTTGGTTATCTGAAGAATTCATTTGGTACTTTGTACAACTGAAATGATGTGCCAAACTCCTGAGAATTAGGGACTATAAAATATAGTAGAGGACAATTTCATGCTGGTTCATTTTCCTCTTTTAAAAAAAATTAGATTTAATTGTTTTAATGAACTTTTAAAAGTCTATTTTCTCTTCTTCCTCCCTCTCCCTCCCCACTGGATAAGAAAAACAAAACCCTTGTAACAAATGTAGTGAAGGCAAATTCCCACGTCAGCTGTGTCCAGAAACGTTTGTCTGATTATGCATACTTAGTCAAGTTCTAAAAGTGTTTCAGAGTTCGTTGACTTTACAGTATTGTTAAATTGTTCTCCTGATTCTGCCAAGTTCACTCTAATAATAATAATTTTACAAACATCTCATTTGATCCTTACAATATTCTAAGTAGGTGCTATTATTATCCCTGTTTTACAGAAGAACCTGAGGCACGGAGACCTTAAGTCACTTGCCTGGGGCCACATAAAGACAGGATTTGAATTCTGATCTTCCTGATGTCAAGTTCAGAATTGTATGTACTGCATCATACAAATCTTTCCAGGTCTTTTCTGAAACTATACCTTATGCAAGAGTGAACATAGTTGAGAAACATATGTAGAGGACTACACACACAGGGAACTATATGTGCCTGATTATATGTGGTGGGGCACACACGAGAGCACTGGTGATCAGGGCACATCTGTGGGGAGAATAACTAACTCTTTTGCAACTGTATTTTTTCTGATGTCTTTTGATGATGTCATCATACTGCTTTGCTAGGCCTGCTTCCTCCTTTGTTTCCTGGATTGTTTCCCTGGTCTTGTCATTGACAGATGTGGTTCTGCTGGGCACATAGTTACAGAGTTTCACTCTGCTTCCAGATCTCACCTTGCACTAGAGTTCTGTACTGAGATGGTGAGGTGCTCAGGTGCTGAGACTCTTCTCTAGAAGCCAAAGAGTAGGCTATACCATAAGTCTTTCGTCTTAGAACTCAATGACTTAGGCTTCAGCTCTTTTAAGAAGGTAGGCCCTGTACACATTCAATATCAAACTAAGGAGAACATTTAGCCATCTTTCTTCCTGTAAGGAGAGGGAGATTTCTTAGTTCCTAGGATCTTGTCACTGGGAATTGTTGGGGGGTTTTTTCCCCAAGGGAGTCTTCAGCTCCAGGAGCCATGCTCTTTGAAAACAGTACTAATCAACCAGCTAAGATGTGCCCACAGAAGTTTAATCCATCTCTGAATCTCTAATGTCTGGGGATGAGTATCAGTCCATTGTCCCAGACAGCCATCTGATTTAAGGTTAGAAATTTCTTGTAATTTGAGTTAATTCCTGATTGCCAATGTACACCATTTCAACATCCTTTTAAAAGGATGCCTTTTCAGCAAGCTATCTTTCTAGGGCTATTTGAGGCTCCAGAGACACAAGATTTTCCTTACTTAACCCCAAGGTTCTTAGAGTCTCCCATTCAAATGAAAGGAAGTTGTGGAAGCAAGGAACAAAAGAGGCCAGATTAGCCATCAGTTTCCTCCACAATCCTTTGTTCTCTGAGAAGTCAGAGAAGTGGGAGCAGGGAAAGGAGGCATACTGGAGAAGTCATAAGTCCCAAAGTAGTACATCCAGGTGGGAAATGCAGACATGTCTATGCTAAGCCCCTTCAGTTAATGGAAGGACATACATGATTCTTCTTCCAGTCAGAGGGTTGTGATGAGGTGTGAGTACCAATGTTGATTTGCTCTTTCGGAATGATGATAAGCTTCCCTAGGGCATGGTAGAGAAGTCAGAGAAGTCCCAAGTAGTGCAGCCAGGTGGGAAATATGAGAATTTTCCCTCCATAAACATGACCATATACACAACAAACCAACAGAAGAGATAAAGAAGTTTGTTGAGGTTGAAAGCAAAATATAATTCCCTAGGGAGTTAGGTGTTTGTGAATATTAGAGAATTCACCTTATCTATGATAATTGAAGATTCTAATACAGTATGGAGGAGCAGTTGGTTAATTGTAATCACTGTAATTTGTTTTACATACTCTCATTTGACTAGCCTTTTGAGTAATTTGATTTATTCAGACTTAAATTCAGTCATTTAGAGAATTCTAGAGTGCTTATCTTGATATCTTTTTAAATGTATATATATATATATATCTCATTAAATGCTTTTCAGACTTAATAGTTTTCTGCTTATCCAAATTATAACTTCTTCCTTGTTGAATTTCTAAAAATTTTAGCCATTTTAGACTTTTTATAAAAGTTATAAAAAATGATAGGGGCAGCTAGGTGGCACAGTGGATGGACCACTGGACTTGGAATCAGGAAGACTGATCTTCATGACTTTAAATCCGACCTCAGACACTTAATTGTGTACTCTGGTCAAGTCATTTAACTCTGCTAGAGTTCCTCATCTGTAAAATAAGCTGGAGAAGGAAGTGGCAAGTCACTCCCAATATCTTTACGAAGAAAACCTCAAAATGGGGTCACTAAGAGTGAGACACTACTGAAACAACTGAAGAGCAACAACAAACAATAATAGATTTTCTTTTTTGATTTTGCTAGGAAAGAGGGAAGAAGGTTTTGATCTAGTTTTGGCTAATTTACTGATGGTTTTGAGAGACTAATGTAAAATCCTTAACATCCTTTGCAATATTGCTTTAATGTCTTAATTTTGTTATAGTGTTACTATTTATCTGTTTTAGACTGTTGGGTCCTAGGAAGAGGGAGTGGGTTGTTATATAGTTCTGTATGGTAGTACACATCACATTGTCACACACAATATTTAGACATATTTTGATTATGAAGATGATGCTGAGAGAGGATGTAGATAACATAGAAATTATTTAATCTTCATCATCTAGAGTTGACACACTAGCTTCATTTGATTTAATACCAAATACAATGTATTGAGTGAAGATAAAGGCTTTTGTTTTTGTTATTTTATATGGATGGGGGAACAGGGTGTTGCTAACATAGAAATAATGTAAAATATGTTTAATGGGTTTACATTGGAACTTTTTTATAAATATAAAATATCTGTGATATTTTGCTGGTAAAGCTTGCTTTTTACTTTTGCTGTTGTTTGGTCCCTGAATTTCAAAAGGTGAAGCCCTAGAGGGTGCTATATCACTATAAATTATAGCAGAAGTTGGCTTTAGTCTGATGTTTAGCTTAAGATCCTTAGATCCAAAAGTTAAATTAGAGAGTTTTTTCTTTCATTGACTAGAATTGAATGGATGAGTACTTAGATACTAAGTAATCTATTCCCTCTATTAGCTAATTTATAAAAAATGGTTTAAAATTTTTTGCATTTGTTTTAAAATATGTCTCAATTTAAGGATGTGTTCTGTATTTTCCATCCTTCAGATGGTTTGAGCCTACTAAAATTATTTTCCCCTTAACATTCCTGTTAGAATAATGAAAGTTTGATCGTTCCTCCTCATCTTTTTTTTCTTCCCTTATAAAGAATTTCTTTTGTTACATTTGGTGAGGCTTAGAGACACCAATTTTTTTCCTCAGTAATTTTCACATTTGGTCAAAGCCTAATTAAAGCATATTGTGGGAATAAATGTATCAAGGAGATACTCTTAGAAGAATTTAGTTTTAAATACATTTTTTGAGGTAAATTGAGCAAATGTATTTAGAAATGGTAAATTCATTAAGATAGTCTGAATTTTTGACTGATTAATTCCTTACTCTGTGTTAGCATTCAGTAAATGCCAACATTTAATTGTATCCCCAACGATATTCCATGGTTACTTGATTTCATGATCTTAGAAGTATTTGTTAGAATTATCAATTAAAACCCTTTTTTTGTCTAAAAATTTGTTACATGGAATTAATACTCATGTTCTTGAAAGTTATTTATTATTCTTGCTCAGGTTGAAAATTCATCCTGTAGTAATATAATGGAATAAAAGCCCATTTTCCAGCTAAAGTTAGTTTGTTGTCTTTGTTGCTGATATTGGTAGAAAATGCCAGCAATGCTCAATTGAACATTACTAGCATTTTTTTGCCATTGTTGTGAAACTTTTCTTTAATAATATGAAGTTGAGGTAGTATTGCAATTCATGGAATATTCTAAGGAATAATATGTACAAACTTAAAAATTAGACATATCTAAGTAGGATTTTTTTGTTTTTTTTGTTTTTTGTTTTAAATTAAGGCACCACCTTCTATGGTCAATAATGAACAACGCCAGCATGCAGAACATATATTCTTATCATTTAGGAAATCAAAATCACCTTTTGCTGTTTGCAAGCATATCCTGGGTAAGTGTTAAATTTTTTCATTTTTGTTGCAAAATCTTATCAGTATAATTTAAATTGCTAAAATCTTTTGATTATTGCTGTACAGACAGCTTAATTTAAAGAGATACTTATTTGAAATACTAGAGCTTTTACATGAATTATACTAAAGTGAATTTTATAAGATATTCCTCAGGGCAAAAAAGAAAACTTTGTTATTTTCAGTTATGAATTTTATCTGTTTAAAATATACTTTAAAGTGAAAGACCTATTTTTAAAAACCAGAACATGAGGATTTGAGTTTATTTTTTAAAAACATTGATATGTTCTCAGTTATTAAGTTCTTTTCAAATATGTGATGTCAACTCTCGAAGGAAAAGTGGCAGGCGGCCCCATATACTGGACCTTGCAATCAGGATGACATGGGGTTCAAGTCCCTCCTCAGACACATGCTGGCCCTGTGACCTTGAGCCCCTTCCAACTCCAATTTGGTGATCTCTCATGCTAAATCATTAAAATTCTCTGAGTCCCAGGCAGCTCTTCAAATACTATAAGTTGCAGAATTGTTGCCTAGATCTGTTTGAGTAGGGAGTGTTTCCTCACCTGTAATTAGCTTCCCACATGGATGGAATCACTGGCCCCAAGATGCAGGGAAAAACTCTCAAAGGAAAAATTCTGTGTTAAGTGTCCAGCCCACTTTTTAAATGTAACTCAAAAATAAATGAATAGATATCATGTGAGACAGAAACATATGTTCATATTTTAAAAATAAAAATCACCTTGTATTTTAAGACAGCTTATTTTTAAGATCTCTATGGAAGTTTCTGCTCAAAGAAAATACATTGGTACAACATTTATGTTGAAAATCTTTTATGATGAATCTCAGAGCTATTAAACTGCCTCTTTCAGTGATGGTGTTTACTCCTAAGAGCTATAGTGAAGCTATCTGTTCCCTTTTAATTTATTTTTACATTGTCTTTGCTTTTGATCAGTTAAGCCTCCTATTTGACAGTCCAGAGTTTTATTTGAGGTCCATGACACTTGTTGATTACTTGGTCACATAGGAAGTAAATCTTAGGATGAATTGCTGATTTTTATTCCTGTGCCCTTAGTTTTGTGTACTAACTAGAAAACTCATTTTGTTGTTCCATTGTGCTATGACTAAGGGTTATATGCTTGATACATGATTTGTCTCTATAAATAGTTGTGTAATCATGCAACTACCTTCTGTACTTTGAGATCTCAATTTCTTTTAAAAGAAGAGAACACTTTTGCATGGTTTATATTTTTAGCACCAGAAGTGGTAAGGATAGATTGATTAACTTACTCCTGAGTAAACAGGTCCTTTTGCTGACAAGCCAGTTTTTAACAACTAAGGTGAAATTTTTATATTTTTTGAATGGGTGATTTTGTACCCAGGAGTGGTATAGATCTGATATGACAAACTGGCTCTGACACAAGTATATTTCCCTTTTCTAATATACCTAAAGAAAATTTAAAAGAAACAAAACCTTAAGGTAAGCAAATTAAAAAGAATTCTACTTCCCTTTCCACTTAATGCCATGTAGTAGGTTAGCATTGTTAGATTTCAGAAAATCATTGTGGTTAAAAATAGTGAATCTAGGGTCCATCTACATTTGTTCTGAGAACTAGTTATCTTATGTGTCTTTTTTGCTGGATGTATACAGCTGGGCTTTCCTGTGGCTTAATTTAGCAGTTCAGGTGATTACTAGTTAATTCTAGATGGTAAATAGAAAACTTTCCAGTGTATCCTTGTACCTTTATGAAGTAGTATTAACTTTGTTGCTATTTGAGTTTACTTAAGAATGTATTTTTGATGTGGGATAAATTTTTGAAGGGGTAGTAGTGCCAATTCCAACAATACTCCTGGAATCATCTTGAATTTTGGAATGTTAAAGTTGTAGATATTACTTTTGAGTGCATGTATTACCAATAACATCATTAATATACAATATACTGCAGATCTTTCTGTTACATTCATGTTTACATCTAAACGCCACAGACTGTCTTTTACTCAGTTGCCACCAGCAAAGAAAGGTAATTCCTCTAAGAAGACTTCTCATTCAGGTGGCAGTCAATCACAGGCCAGGATTTTCACATTCTTATTCAAGAAATTAATTTCATTTTGTGGGCATCACTTAGGGAATTTGATCTAAAACTTTGAAGTTGGGGAAAAAAACCCTTGCCCTCCCATCTTGTATGACTTAAATTTCTTCTTTCCTAGTTTCAACTTAAATTTTGCATATTTTCCATTTTTCTTCATTTCTTTCTCTAGCTCTTATGTTTATATTTTTAATTTTCTTTCCTCTCTTCTGAGTTTTATTTATTTTAGTAAGAAAGAACTTTCAGACATAATCACTTGAACTCGTGATACTTCTGTGACTTTTGACTAAGCAGTGCTAAAGTATTCTCAGAAAACCCCATGACTTTTATTCTTATTGTTAGGAAATACTCAGATGAGCAAAAGGATTTATTTTCTCTAGGTGCTAATTTTGTAGCAATTATATGTTCATATTCTAGGGAACATTTCTTTTTTACCTTAAAGTAGTGGGAAAAAAAGGCAATTATAATGGTAAAAGCTTGGGTTTCAGGATTTTGGAAAATTTCTTTTATAATACTGTCAACAGTAAGAATTGGCACTTCATTTGTGAAATTCTTTTAATAGATCACTTTTCACCTAAGATTATTTCTTTGTTTTTGGTCAAGTCAAATATCCAGGTTATCCCAAAAGTCTTTGTGATTTTAAGCTATTAGGGTTTGTCTGGAAATCTCAAATATCAATTCTGAAAGGTTCTTTACTGTTCCACTTACTAAATTATTTTTACGTAGAGAGACTTGAGGAGTGGAGGGACAATTACTTTATTGACTAAAGTGCCAGTCTTTTGAACCTCTTCTATTAAATTGAAAACATCCTCCCTTATATAGGGAGAATGAATAATTTTCATTTAGTGGTATACTCTTTATGGCTGTATATACTTTCCGAAAAATTAGAAAGGGATAAATTTTGGTTTATAGGATTCTTTGAAGGAGATGATTTCATTTTGGTCAGAGGTAAATGTAGGGGCAGCTAGGTGGTGCAGTGGATAGTGCACTGGCCCTGGATTCAGGAGGACCTGAGTTCAAATGCGGCCTCAGACACATAATGCTTAATAACTGTGTGACCCTGGGCAAGTCACTTAACCTCATTGCCTAGCCAAAAAAAAAAAAGTAGATGTAATCCTTTGAAATTACTTGAAAACAATTGCTTTTACCAAACATTTCCTATTGGTAAGCAAATGTGAACACAGCATGGTAAATGGATGTTTTGTTTCCTGTTTTGTTTTTTAGCAAGTAGCTAGCTCAGAATTCTCTGAAGACCCAAAAATGTCCTTGTACTAGTTGCCAGAAGTATTGGTTATATAGTCATAGCCACGTTACTTATTCTTATCAATAGATTTCTAGATAGGCTCTCTTGCTAATTCATCTTCTGTGCAAAATATGGTTTGCAAAAGTTTATCTTAGTACTTTGGACAGTTGCCCAAGAAGATTGGTTTTAGAAATACCATCTGTTAAAAATTTTGGCTTTGATTTTCCTATATGCATAGTTCCTAGAGGTCATGATTTTGTGGGTCCAGGAGTTTGGAAATCTTCCTATCATCTGGTATAGTGTGTTTAAGGAATACGAATGATCACAATTGTGTTTTGTGGCCTAAGTATGCCACCTGCAAACCTATTAAATAATAAGGGAAAAGTCTATTGACTTATTAGGTATTTTAAAATACCAGTAGATAAGGCTTTTTAGAGGCTAAACAGTATTTTATATTTCATGAATATCCAAACATATTTATTTGGGTCTGCTCTGACATGCAGGTTTTGGTTTTTGGGGGGTTTTTTTAGAAGAGGATCAGTATTTTCTGAGGAGATAGTGTTTCTTTGTTCACTCAGATGGCAGAAGTTAACATTTCTTTGGTTATGGTGGCTATGTTGTGGTAGAGGAAATAAGTAAGTGTTGGTAGTAAGAAGTTATTTGAGTTGTGTTTGTAAGGAAGCTCCATATTTCTCCTTAAATGCAGTAGATGATATGTAGCTTTTAACTGCCTTCAGTCCACTGTGAATTGAGCCTCTACTTCTATCAGATCTTTACCAGAGTCCTATATTGATTTCTAAGAACTGTCTCTTTTTTTCCTTTGAGAGTATTCAGGGATATATGAAATGTGATTTCTGTCAGGATTAGAATTTACACTAAGGCTACATTTAATAAGTCAAACTTTTAAAAATAAGACCAGAATTTTTATTTTTTTCTTCATGTAGCTTCACAGTACCCAGTGTAGGAAAGACAAGAGATAGGTAGTGTTTATTAGTGGTTAACCTCCTTCCCAGATTTCCATACTTAATCTTTGCCATGACCATTTGTAAGATTTTAGTAACAATCAGAGTTTGAGTAGGGTAGAAACATTGATATCAGCTTTTCACTGCCCGTGTGTATCTTCAAGATACTTCAACACTTTCTTTAAGGTACCAATTTTATGCTACTGTTTGTTTTTAGTTGTTTAGAGATACTAATGTTCAGATGTCTTGGCAAGTTATCTGGAATCTGGCTGTGTGGTTTATGTGGCAATTATATTCATTCTCACAGATTTCTGCACATTTCTTGACTTTGGACTGTTTCTTCTTTTTTGAAATGACATTTGAAAACTATTTGTCAGAGCTCTTTGGTACCTGCATCACAGAGAATCTGATGCCTGTTGAGACTTCATTTTTTTCCTGTGATCCAATTCTTAGTGCAGATACCATAACTTAATAGATAAGGTTGAATTCCTTCGAAGTGTAGGATGGGAATTTTTACTCAGTTTGATCAGTAGAGCAATCAGAAATTTTACAAGAACTTCTCACCTTGTGTAAAGAGTGAATTTTATTTTTATCTTCTGGGAAAAATAACCTAAACTTAATTTTTTGAGTTTCCTGTTAGAGATGGGTCATCTTGCTGAAAGAAAAACTATATCATTTATAAACATAGATCTTTTAACAACATGGCTCATCATGAATGGGAATACTCAAAGTATGTTTTTCTGTTTAAATATCTTCAAATGCAGTATACCATTTATACCTGGTGAGAATATCTTGGGAAATTTTCTGATTGCTTTATTTTTTTTTTAAAGCTGTGTTTTTTTTAGTTCTTCATGCTTTGGAAGTAACAGTTGAAGAGAGGTGAGGAAAGTTTGTGAAAATTGTGATCGTGATTAGCTGCCACCTGCCTGAGGTGTCTTCTGAGAGGAACTAACCTCTTTGTGGTGCTAGAGCAAGGTCACGGGAAAAAAAAAAAGAAACAGGTAATCATTTTATTCCTTGTCTGAAAAGTTCTGTTTTCAAATTAAGAAATGCACATTGTAGAAGGTCATAACAACAAGTGTCTGAAGAAAACTTTTCATTTTCCTAACAGAAACTAGTAAAGTGGACTATGTCCTTTTTCAAGCTGCCACAGCGATAATGGAAGCAGTTGTTCGAGAATGGATTCTTTTGGAAAAAGGTAGCATCGAGTCACTGCGAACATTCCTTTTATCCTATGTCTTACAAAGGCCTAAGTAAGTACATAGAAGAAATGCCAGTAAAATGCCTTTTGCAATTTTACATGCCTTTGAGAGTGTGTCTTTTTGTTTAAAATATTAATTATTACATCCCATGTTAAAATTGTAAGATCCTTGAAGACAAGAACATTTTTGGTTTTTGTTTTTGTAGCCTCAGGGTCTTAGGTATTGCAGATGTTTGATGCATTGGAGATCTTGGGCAAGTCGCTTAACCTGTTTGCCTCAGTTTCCTTATCTGTAAAATGTAAAGTCTTTGTGAATATTAAAGGAGGTGATGTGTGTGATATGCTTTGCAAACTTTAAATCACTAGCTATTATTATTGGATGTTAACTGGTAGTTGAGTTTAAAAAATTTTTTTTAAATTTCGTTTTGGAACAGTGGCTTTTAAAAGGTTCCGAATTTTAAAAGCCAGATGGTTGAAAGAAAGCAAACCAAGAACAGTTTTATTTTTTAGAAAGCCAACAAAATACTAAATAGGCTTTCAAGAATAGCTGATAAACATTTTCTCCTATTTCTGCAGGCAGAAATTTGTGTGGATGTTAATCTTTAAAAAAGGGAAATTACCACATAAATTAGTTAAAAGTTGTCATTTCCATCAAACAAGGATGCTTTATGCTGAAATTTCCTATATGCCGTATTTCATAGAACTCTGTTATTCGTGTGACTATAGGTGGGGATTCTGTGAGAGAAAGGATATTAAATATGAAATTATATATGTATCAAGAATGCATTATGTGATGTAATTCTTGGGAAATTAAAAAAGGTATAATTAGAAAAAGACACAGATAGCATTGATTACTATCTTTTTTCTGTTCTGTTGAGTTTTGTTTCCTCTTTCTGATGGTTCCTCCTTTTGGTTTAATTTTTACTTACGACTTCACTAATGTGAAAATGTGTTTAATAGGAATGTAAATGTATAGCCTATATCAGATTGTGCGTCATCTTGGGGAGGGAGGTGGGGAGGAAGGGGCAGAAAAATTTTAAACTCAAAAGCATATTGAAGTGATTGTTGATAAATCAAAATAAATTAATAAAATATGCAAAAAAAAGGGTATAATTTCCTCCTTTTTATCCTAAATTTTCATATCCCCACATTGAATCTTCACTTATTGCAGATTCCCCTGGACCTAGATTTATGGGTGACATCAGTATATATTCAAAACTCATAAATATTCTATGGCCATATTAATTATATTGATATGAACCACAATATAGAGAGTGGGACCTCAGAGGCCATCTAGCTCAGCTTAACCCAGACCTGAACAAGAATCCCCTCTATAGTATGCCTTACGAATTGTTGCCCAGCTTTTGCTTTTAAAATCTCTAGGGAGAGGGGATCTGCTGCCTCCTGGGGCATCTCGTTCTATTTTTTTGCTATCTCACATTGTTATGGCAACTTTCCATACCACAAGCGTAAGTTTATTTCTTTACAATTTTTATCCATTGCTTCTTGTTTTGCCATCTGGGTCCAAGAAGAGCAGATTTGTTTTCTCTTCCTTCTCGTTGAGGAGACCTGTCATGTCTTCCCACTCAAATCTTCTCCCCTCTGGACCAATCATCTCTTGTTTTTTTTTTAACCATTCATCTGGCAGTAATTGAAGATCCTTTACATTGCTGTTTGCTCCCCTCTGGACATTTTCCAGTTTATTAATGTTTTTCCTAAAATATGATATCTAGAACTTAACATAGTACTTCTGATGTGGTCTGATAAGGAAGGAAAGTACAATGGAACTGTAAGTTCCTTATACTTGGGTGCCATTCTTCTAAATGTGGTCTAAGTTTCTTATTTCCTTTCATTCATTCACTTATTTCTTTTTTTCCTTGAAATTAAGTTTTATTTTTTAAATTAACAATAATTTATTTTTATCCTTCCCAGCATGCCCCACCCATTGGAAGAAAAAAAAAAGGATAAATGTGATAAATATATATAGTCAAGTAAAACTAGTTTCTTCTTTGGCCATGTCCAAACAAATAATGTCTCAATCTGCAGCTTGAGTCAGTTTGCCTCTCAATCAGGTGGTGGGTAGCATGATTTCTCATCCAGTTAGTTAAGCATTGATCAGAATTTTTAAGTCCTTCACACTCTTTTAAAATGTTATCATTGTATGAATTGCTCTGGTTCTGCTCACTTTGCTTGACATAAATTCGTACAGATCTTCCCAGGTTTCTCTGAAATCATCCCTTTCATCAGTTTCTCATACTGAGCCGAAATATGTCTCTTTGCACCTTCTGCTAGTAGTGGAAGTGGCACAGTAGTATTCCATTGCATTTGTATGCCATAATATATTCTGTCATTCTCCATTTGTTGGGTACCTTCTTAGTTTCCAGTTCTTTGCCACTTGAGAGAAAATGTTTCAATAAGTAAAAAATCTACCACTGGTTCTGGAATACTACCGTTGACCTTGCTAGTTTAAAACACAGTGGTGGATATACTGATAATGATTCACTTTCATTCATTTATTTCTGCTACAAAACACTGTTGACTCATGGAGCTTGCATTCTTCGGTAGCACTCAGATTTTTTTCAAATTGTTGTCTGGGTGCTTCCTCTACCTCTTATATTTGAATTGATTTTGTTTGTTTAGTATTTTAATTTTTCCCCAGTTACATGTAAAAACAATTTTTAACATTTGTTTTTAAAATTTTGAGTTCCAAATTCTCTCTCTTCCTCCCCTGCCAACTCCTTCATTGAGAAAGCAAGCAGTTCAATATAGGTCATACACATGTTGTCATGCAAAACATTTCCGTTAAAGTCATGTTGTAAAAGAAAACATAGGCCCCCCCCCAAAAAAAAAGCCTCAAGAAAAATAAGGAAAGCAAAAACCAAGAAAGTATGTTTCAAACTATATTCAGACACCATTAGTTCTTTCTCTGGGGATGGATAGCATTTTTCATCCTAAGTCTTTCAGAGTTGTCTTGGATCATTGTATTGCTGCGAATAGCTGAGTCATTCACAGCTGATCATCTTAACAATATTGCTATTACTTTGTACACTACATTTCACATTGCATCAGCTTATGTAAGTCTTTCTAGGTTTTTGTGAGAGCACCCTGCTTATTTCTTAGCACACAATAGTATTCCATCACAGTCACATAGCACAATTTGTTCATTCACAAATTGATGGACACCCCTCAATTTCCAATTCTTTGCCACCAGAAAAGAGCTGCTATAAATATTTTTGTGTGTATAATTCCTTTTCCTTTTTGTTTTTCATCTCTTTTGGGATACAGACCTAGTAGTGGTATTGCTAGGTCAAAGGGTATGCTTGCTTTTATAGCCCTTTGGACATAGTTCCAAATTATTCTTCAGAATGATTGAATCAATTCACAACCCCACCAGCAGTGCCTTAATGTCTCATTTTTCCCACATCCCCTCTGCCATTTGTCATTTACCTTTTCTGTCCTATTAGCTATCTAATAGGTATGAGGTAGTACCTCAGAATTGTTTTAATTTGCATTTCTCCAATCAGTAGTGCGTTAGAGCATTTTTTCATATGGCTATAGATAACTTTTCATATCCTTTGATCATTTATCAATTGAGGAATGCCTTTTATTTTTATAAATCTGACTCGTTTTTATATGTTTAAGAAATGAGGCCTTTCTCAGAGAAACTTGCTTCATAAGTTTTTTTCCAGTTACTATTGATAACTGTACTTCCCTCCGTACTATTCTCTCCCCGTCCCGTGTTTATTGTATTCTCTTTCTCCTTTCACTCTGTCCCTCCTCAAAGGATTTTGCTTCTGAATACCCTCTCCCCTAATCTGCCCTTCTTTCTATCATCTCTCCTGATCTTCTCTTATCCCCTTCTCCTCCTTTCCTATAGGGTAAGATAGATTTCTATACCCAATTGCATGTGTATGTTATTCCCTCTTTGAGTCAGTTCTGATGAGAGTAAGATTCACTCACTCCACCTCATCTCCCCTCTCTTCCCTTCAACTATGAAAACCTCTTTTTGCCTCTTTTATGTGAGATAATTTACCTCATTCTACCTGTCCTTTTCCCTTTCTCTCAGTACATTCCTCTTTCATCGCTTAATTTTATTTTTTACACGTCATCCTTTCATATATTTGATTGATTTTTAACCCACTTCTAAAACTATCTATCTAAATTTCATGTTACTAGATTTGAACCTCAGTGTTTTAACCTGTCAAAATCTTTCTGAATCCTTGCCATCATCTAATGTATTAACTATTTCTTCTAACTTTATGTCATCTTCAAATTTAATAACCATTCCATGGAAGTATTGATCAAATAAAGATCCAGGTCATTGATACAGTGCTAAACAGCAACACTATAACCTTTCTTTCTATTTGACATCAAACCTGTAATAACCATTCTTTGGATGTAACTCTTCAGCTAGTTCTGATTCTTTATAATTGCTCTAATTGTAGCTAATCTCTCTCTCTTTGTCAAGTAAAGTATATGTACTTTGTCACATGCTTTTTAAAAATATACTATTTCCTGATCTATCATTCTGATAACCCATAGAGGAAATAAGGTTAATCTGACACAACATTCTTTTTTCTTACAGTGTAGTCATTTTTTTAAAGTATCCCCCTCCACCCATTGAAACCCGTCTTGAAACAAATTTTTAAAAACCAGCTCACAAAATGACCACATTTGATATTACATTTAACACTGATAAATGTAACATGACCTGTTCCTGATAAATCCATTCTGACTTGTGATCACCAGTTCCTTTCTAGTCCTTCACTAACTAACCATCTCTAATATATCTTAGAATTCTGATCAAAATCAAGATCACTGGCCTGTAGTTTGTATGTGCTACTCTACTTTCTTTTTTGAAAATTAGCATATTTGCCCTTTTCCCATCTTTCTTGTTTTCCATGATTCTTCAGAGAGCACTTTCAGTGACTCAGCAATCATACCGTTCAGTTCTGTTAGTACCTTATTTCAGCTAGCCCTGGTGATGGTGATTTACACATACTCCTTTGGAGCTACTTGGCGCTCTTATTACAGTTTACCCATCTTAGGTTTCTTTCAGTTTCTAATTAGCCATTTTTTGTTTATTTTTTCCAGTCCAAAGTTCATTCTTTTCAGCAGCAAAAATAGGCAAAATAAGAGTTGGACAGTTGTGCCTTCTCTTTGTCATGAGGTACATAGTCCCATCTCTCTAGAGTAGTGGTCTTATCTCTTCGTTAATCCTTGTCTTTTCCTCATTATAGTTATTCTTCTTCCTAAAACATTTGTAATCTTTAGCTTTGCCTGATAGCCTTAATTCATCCTGAGTTTTAATATAACTATTTTCACAGAGACATGCCATGCTTTTGTATTTATCCTCTGTTGACAGCCCTTGCTTCCATTTTCTATGCTCTAAATCGAATTTAGATTACATTAATGTACCATCTTTAATATATGACTGTGTTACTACTTATCTTCTAGCAATTCAGCATATGGTATGAGTTGTTCTTCTCCTGGAAATGTCTTTATATTGATCCATTTCTCTCTACACTCATGCCCTAGTTCCTCTGTTGATGTGATGTAGGGAAATATCGCAGGATTTGAGTCAGAGTAGCTGGATTCAAGCAGCAACTCTGCCACCCACTGCCTGTGACCTTGTGCACTTTAAATAATCTCTGGTCCGTGATTTCCTAATCTGTGAAATTAAGGACTTGAACTAGATGCTTTAAATTCGTTTCCAGTTCTAAGAGCTTGTAGTTTGTAGGACAGTTGACTTGGTTCTGTGGTAACAAACTTTAGAAATACAGTTTGAGGCCAAAGCACAGTGTCATTAACTTGACCATGTTGAATTGGTCTTGAAATACCCTCCTTAACACAGGGCTTTAATCATCCAAGCTAGTGATAGCAATACAGTTTGCTTTATTTCATTATGCTTTTTGTGATATGTGATTTTTGTTGGTACCCACTTCGTATAGAACCCTCCCTCTGCCTTCCAACACCACACACATAGTTGCCAGCTACTGTTACTTAGTAAGTGGTTTTTCAGAGAACTACTATTCTGTGGCCACAAAATTAATCACCTTTCTGCCAATTTCGTGGCGAACTTTATGACTAATTTAGCGTATCCTAAATGATAGATGTACAATCTAGTATGAGGCCTATACTGGAAGATTTGCCAGGACCTGCTGTAGAGCTTGGGGTTTACTTTCATACTTACATGAGGCATTGGAATAAGTATACAGTGGAAGAATACAGTATATTGTATTTTTTCATTCAAAGGTATATAAGAAAAATGGTGTTAGCACATTAATTCTAATGACCAGTATATAATGGATTTTATATATTTTAAGACCAGTATATATCTTAAGGCTGATTTAGGAATGTTGTGGGAAATATGGGATGTTTTCTTTGTTCCAACTCCATGCTTTCCTTAGTTCCAACTAAGATGAAAGTGACTGTCAGCTTCAGCTTTTCTGTTCCCATCCGCTTAATCTTTTAGGATGCTACCTCACCCTTCTAGGATTTCTATTTAACCATGTTCCCAAACCTTATGATTTTTTTTTAAATGGTAGACAGGAATCTAGACAAGTTTTTCAGCTTGTGATTAAAAGTAGCTTGTACAATTATTAAAGAGTTGTTGCTAAATTTTTAGAAATGGAGCATAAGATACATAATTTGTTGAATTTCACTGAAACTTATTTTTTGTTTGTTACTTTGTTTTTTATTCCTAGCAAAATGCCCCTCTCCCTTTTTTTCTTTTTCTCTTTTTTGCTTTCAGGAAAATGTTATGTAAAGAAATAAAGTTGGATAAATTCCTTTGATATATGATATTCATTTAACTAAAGTTTAAAGACAGTTAAAATTATACCCAGAAAAGTATTCAGAATTGAATTGTTGAATAATTTTTTTCCCTATCCTAGAGACTTAAAAACTTGAGAGTCATTCTAGAGTTCTCTAGTTCCTTAAATGAAATTAAATTAAGTGGTTATCAGACCAGTCGTTTATTCATTTTTTAAAAAATTCTCAGTTATTATCCCAAACCTTTTTAAAAATGATTTTTATATTCAAAGTTGTTTCAGAGTTGTTTATCCAGATCAACTTTGGAATAATTCAGTTGACTTATATTATAATGTTGTACAATTGGGAAGGGCAATAGCTGCAAATTGTTAAAATTTCTGTCTTCTATTTTATCTATATTTTTTAGTATTCCCTACTTTTAAACCATATTCCCCCCTTAAAGACTGTCAGTCAACTGATACTCTTGGCTTTCATTTCATGGCTATCATTCAAAGGAAAGCTTTCTGAGACAGAAGAGGTTGTGGGTGCTGTGTTTTTGTGTCCAACAGGACAGAGGGTGCATAGACCCCGAGTGGATGTTTGAGTTTTGTTTTTAAGAAAGGAGTCCTACTTTTGTGCTTTTGAACTAGAATGGCACCTTGAGTATTCCAGTATGGAATGCTATAGTCTGACACCATTGAGGGGAATCCTAATTGTTTTGCTTGGACTGAAGAACTTGAATACTTGAGGACATGACTGTCTTCCTGTAATCTGTAATTTTGTTTTGTTTTTAAATAAAATAAAATTTTAAATAGTGAAGCTAAAAATTTTATAACTAATATTAGAGATATGCTTGTGTACATGAACTTGTAGAGTATTTAGCTGGTTTTAAATGTGTATTTCTATATGTTTTGCAGGTGGGAAAACATGTAACTTGAACATGAGGCTATAAAAATACTATAATAGAATTTGTATTTTTATTTCTGTGTTCTGCCTTGAATTGTCTAGCGGAAGTGTAGCATGCTATGTTAATTTGCCATTGTGTGTTGAGATCAAATGGACTTAAATTCATAATGGTCAGAGCTAGGGCTGAAACTTGGATCCCCAGTTCAGGAACATCTGCAGGGAAGTTTAAAAGGCATTTAATTCTTCCTGTGTGTTCACTTCTCATTTAAAACAAGTTATGGCATTTGGATGTTTCTTTGCCTTTTCTGCTTTCTATTAGCAATATTGGCACTACCTGCTTTTATTTTTAAATGAACCCTTCCTAGTTCTATAAGCAGTGTTTTAAATAACCACATTTATTGGAAAATGTGGTATTCTTTTGTAGTGGATTTAAGTAACTGTTTAACAATTTGTGTTTTACAGCCTACAAAAGTATGTTCGGGAGCAGATTCTGTTAGCAGTAGCAGTAATAGTAAAACGAGGATCATTAGATAAATCAATTGACTGCAAAAGCATTTTCCATGAAGTCAGTCAGTTGATAAGCAGTGGCAATCCCACAGTGGTAAGTGTGTTAAGTATGTAAGAAATAAAGTTTAAATGTATTTGTTTTGAATTATTGTTTAGCCAGATGTTAATACTTTAAGGTTCGTTGTGTGTGATTAATAAACATGGCTTTCTGAATCTGTTCTGTATTTTGTGAAACTATTGCTATGTAATTTTAGTTTTATGAGATTTGTTTGTCTTAGAATTTCTAGTCACCTTTTTGTTGGGCTTACAAGGATTTCTTTGCTCTTTATTGGTTTCTTCATTTCCTCAAGTATTTGCTCCCCCGTTTTTCTTCACTGTGGATCTTTAGGAGATATTTTTTAAAACATCAGTTCTTGCATTTGTTATGTAGTTGTGTTGCACATTTGTAAAAATGTTGTGATATTAATATATGCTATATATATATATGTGTGTGTGTGTGTGTATATATACACACACATATACACACACACATATATTCTGTACAAAATTTTTTTTAAATTTGATACACTTTGTTTTGGTTACAATAGATACATCTTAGCATGTGCATGCGGCTAACTCCTACCTCCCAGGTCCCAAAGCACACTCCCTTAAAAGTTAGGTAAAACTACCTAAAAGATTGTGATTATGATAAATGATATTTGTCATTATCTACTTTTGGAGCTTATCATTTAACCAAAAGTAAGGGAGGATGTGTGCTTTAATAATTACTAATGTTGCCCATTGTTATTTGACTTGCTACTATTTAATATTGTCTTCATTTACATGGTTCTAATCATTTAAATTTGGAGAAGGAAATAGCAAACCACTCCATTATTTCTGCCAGAAAACTCCAAATGGTGTCATAAAAAGTCAGTCATGACTGAAACAACTGAGTCCATCAGTCATTTAAATTATGCTTGATAAAATTTTAAGTTTAGGATAAGCTGTTACATTCATTTCCATATGAATTCTTATCACATAGTTGAGTGATTCTTTATATTTTTGAAGTTAATATTCTATATTTCTTTTTTAAAAGAATTGATAGCATTTTTTGCGAGGTAATTAGAGTTAAGTGACTTGCCTAGGTTCACATGGCTAGTAAGTGTTGTGTCTAAGGCCGGATTTGAGCTCAGGTCCTTCTGACTCTAGGGTTGGTGCTGTATCCACTACACCACCTAGCTGCCCCAAGAATTGATAACCTCTACCTATTCTTTCCTTACTCCCCACCCCCCCAAAAAACAAAAAAGACTGGATATATCGTTTTCTGAAGTAAACACTCATTTTGTGTTTAGATTTTCATGGTGTCTTTTGATAATTGGAGATACCTTAGAGTCTTCATTGGAAAATGCCAAGTGAAGTAAAATAGTAAATTTAACTAGACAGCCCATGGTAGTATATTACCCTGTAAAGAAAACTAGTGTCAAAAATCACTAATCTTTTTGGTACATATCTCAGAATAGACACACTAGAGCAGGGGTGGGGAACCTTCGGCCTCAAGGCCTTGAGGCCGAAGGTTCCCCACCCCTGCATTAGAGGATTAACACGTTTAGAAAAAGTCTGTATTTAAACAGGTTGTATATATAAAAATAGGATTTTCCATTAGTAGTCCTCATTTTTTTTTTCAATTAATACTAGACTTTTCACCTTATCATTGATTATCATTCAAGGTCCATTGAATAAACATTATTGGCCTCACTTTGGGCATCGAGGTGGCACATTGGATAGAGTGCTGGCCCTAAAGTCAGGAGGACCTGAATTCAAATCCAGCCTTAGATATTAGTTGTGTGAACCCTGGGCAAGTCACTTAATCCTGTTTGCCTCAGTTTCCTTTTCTGTAAATTAAAATTTTGGGGGGGTGAGACAATCAGGGTTAAGTGACTTGCCCAGGGTCACACAGCTAGTAAGTGTCAAGTGTCTGAGGATAGATTTGAACTCAGGTCCTCCTGACTTAGGGCAGAGCTCTATCCACTGCACCACCTAGCTACCCCCCTCATCTGTAAAAGTGAGCAGGGGAAGGAAATGGCAAACCATTCTAGTATCTTTGCTAAGAAAACCCCAAAAAACTCCAAATGAAGTCTCAAAGATTTGGACATAACTGAAATTGAACGACGACAAAAATTTCATTAGATTTAGTGAGGTCATAGTCACAGTCATAGTCATAAATTGTATTCAAAGTCAAAATGTAATTGAGGTAAGATTATAAAAGCTTGGTTTCTTTTATTTAAGAGAAGTAGAGACATACTATGATGTATCTTTATGATTTTTTGATAATTCTGCATCTGTTTCATATGAGATGTCCTAGATTGGTCAGTCAAGTATTGATCTCTCTTTGTATTTGAAGCATTGATCTATGTCAAACTAATCTGTTGTCTGCTGTTGAGATGAAAAAAGTTTTGATTACTTATGCCCAAAGTGAGAAATTCATTTGAGAGTAGTTAAGTTTTTTGTTTCTGTGATTTGTTATTTGACCCACTCATTCTTTAGGATTAGATTGTTTAGTTTCCAATTAATTTTTAGTCTATCTTTCCATGGACCTCTATTATATGTAATTTTTATTGCATCATGATCTGAAAAGGATGCATTTGATATTTCTGCCACTCTGCATTTGATTGTGAGGTTTTTATGCCCTAGTACATGTTCAATTTTTGTGTAGGTGCCGTGTACCACTGAGAAAAGGTGTATTTCTTTTTGTCCCCATTCATGAGTAAAGTTTTTTAAACTTCCTCTGAGATATATAGTGAAAGGAACTTTTACCTAGGAGATAAAAATTAGTGGTACTATAGGAAAATAGGCATACTAATGTACTGTTAGTGAAGCTGTGAATTGGTCCGACCATTCTGTAAAAACGATTTGGAACTATGCCTAAAAGATCACTGCATTGTCTATGTCCAGTGGTACCACAACTAGGCTTATGTCCAAAGAGAGAAATGACCCATAAATACAAAAATATAGCAGCTCTTTTCATAGTAGCAAAAACTAGAAACAAAGCCAGGGTGCCCACCATCTACTGGGAAATAAATTAATTAAATTGTGGTTTAGGAATATATTAGAATATTGTGCTATGAGAAATAGCAAAATTGGGAATTTCTAAGACATCGAAGAAGATCTCTTTGTCTTGATGCAATGACAACAATATTGTAGGGAAAAACAACCTTGAAAGACTTGAGAGCTCTGGTCAGTATATAATGACAAACCATGAGCCCAGAGGACTGAAAATGAAGCATAACACCCACCTACCCTTGCCTGAGGGGGGGATGGACTTAACATGAAGAGAAAGGCAGACATGTTTGGACATGGCCAATGTGGGAATCTGGTTTGCTGGACTACGAATATTTCTTTTTCTTTTCTTAATAGTTCAATTCGCAGGCAGAGGAAATGAGGGAAAAAAGAAATAAAATAAATATTTATTGAAATAAATACACATTATTAAACAACAAAAAAAGGAAAATGTGTGTTCCCCATTTGGGATCTCGTATACTATCTTACCTGCAAAAACATAGTGCACTAAGTATTGTGGTGGTGAAGCTTCAGAAATCATACAGTTGTAACAGAAATACCTTATTAAAGATCAGAAAAATTGTTGAGCAAATACTACTTTATTCATGAGAAAAATATAGGATATCACTTTTGTAAAGTGATCATGATAAAGGCGATAGCCAACTTACTATATAGAATTATATGAAAAAAGGTTTTGTATATATGTCTGTGATGTGTTCCTCTTCCCTTTGACTGAATTCTCTGAGGGCAAACCCAGTTCCTTTTGCTCCACTTCATCTCTAGTGCTGGTGGAATTGAGGATTTATTGAAAGGCTCTTCATGCAGTTTGAATCTCTACTTTTGCAGGTTATAGTTGGAGGAAGGGGTAGAGAACCTGTATAACTCCAATGTTGTAGGAAGAGAGGGTTAAGTATTTAACCTTAATATTAGAGAAAGACCTACATTCACATCTTGCTTCCTAGTAACTTTAAAAGAGTGTGGTCAGAAATTAGGCTGAAGGAGAACTTGGTGTGCAGCCTGCTCCATTTTATTATTCACCTAGTTTTCTTCTCAGTTATTTGACCACTCACTGAACTGTACGTAAGGCATTTTGTTTGATTGATCTTATGAGGCAGGAATCTAAAACAGTGGCTTCTTAAACTTTCATTCTAGTTCACACCTTTAAATTTACTTGAATATAGTAGACACACTGGCAGGGGTTATATGCATTGCCTTTGCTTTCTGATAGCCCCAGGATGTACTGCTTGAGCCTGTTATGTGTTTAGTACTATTTAGAACCTTAAAGTTCACCGGTTGCCAATTATGTATCCTTGAATGTGTTGATATCAAATTATGTTTTGTGCAATTACCCGTGACAGCTTAGTTATATGAAATTTAATTAGTTCATATGAAACAAAATATTTATGTCTTAAAATATTAGATGCCTATGTAGCTATGACTTGATCTTATCTGCAGGGAAAATCAACTGAATCTTTCAACGTTTTCCATCTTAGAATTTTTAGATAAAAATGAAAGATAGATATAGAACCCTTAGGAAAGTAGGGGACATTAGAAATCAATTAGTCCATACTTTTATTTTACAGATGAGGGAACAGACTCCAAGGGCTTGAGTTCCCTGAGGTCACTTAGTGATTAGGAAGCTTTTCCCCAGCACATACCCTTGACTCCTTCATTAATCTTAACAAATGATTATTTCAGGGTTGTGATTTTTTTCCTTCTTAAGAAATTATATAAATAATCAGCGTTTTATGTGTTCATTTTCATTTTATTAATCCCTTAACTAAGTTATGCTTCATTGTGTTTTTTTAAGGCTCTAAAATGGAATGAAAACTGGACTATTGTTAGTGTTTAACCTCAATATGATATATGAATATGTGACACTCATTAGCAAAGTCAGAGGGGACAGAGGAGTAAAGTAAAAGACTTTAAGTGAATGTAATCTGCTCAGAGTGACTAGCGGCCCATGTAAGGCTATTATTAGCATATGTATGGCCTTGAAATCCAAAATCAAAGTACTGGTTCTTCAAGATTTTGCTTTCAGTCAATTTTATTTTTATA